CAACCGCTTCAATTCGAAAACGTCGTACAAATCAACCGCCCAGAATCCACCCACGTCAACCCTTGTATCATTTGCTCGGCGCCAAATCCTTTCCCCGGGGCGAGAGGAAAAAAGGTATTTCGATGCGTATAATATTTCGACGCGCGCCGCCTATATACTTCACCGTGTGTAAGATCGAGGGTACCTGATTCAACCCCCGCCGCCCGCACACCCTCGGGGACAAATAACGGGGGTGGGAATCGCGGGGGATAATATCCGATAAATCTTGGACGATGCTCTCTCGCGGAACACCGGGAAGGACGAAGGACGCACGCGCGACCCTTTCACACACGTTCTAACCACCCGCTCGCTCGCTCACCCCCCAACGAACGCGACGGGGTAAATTTTTGCCCCGGCTGTGGGCCACGAATAAAATACAAATGAAAATACGAGAAAGAGACAAGGGACCAGGAACAGGGAACAAGCACTTCATTAATCCTTTTATCGTGCGGCATAAATGTTTGCGATGGTAACGAGGGTAGGGGGTGGGCGGCGCATTTGCGCTTTTAATAAAGCGATACTCTTGTACAGGCTGCGCGTTACGTGGAACTCCGTGGATTCTCTCCTTTCGGTTCTTCCGCTTTTTCTTCTCTTTTTCGGGAATGCCGGGGATGTTCTCGGGGATACGCTGAGGGCGGAATTGGGGTGGATGATTCAAGGTCGGTCTGCATGGCCAGCGCTCCACGTGGAAGTGCGGGAGGCTTTGATGCGGATAGGTGTAATCTGATTTGCAACTGGAAAAACTGGGATTTTCAATTTATCTTTCGTTTTGTATTTTGGATTCTTCAGTTTGGATGTTTCCTTTTCGATCCTTGAGTTCTTAGTTTCCATTTTTCATTTTGAATATTTCCCCTTTGACTTTTAAGTTTTAATTTTCAATTTTTTGGTCTGAATGTTTTCTTAATCTCTGATTTTCCATTTTTTATCTTGATTTCTGAGAATCGTTGGTGGACATAAAATATACATCAGATTTTCTTCTTTTTGCAATAGATTAGTAATGACGAAGTTTTATCGATCACAATTGAAAAATAGATCATAGGGCAACGGGCTGATCCTGTTTTACGAGAGGAGTATTAAAAAAGATTGAATTTCGTCAGAATATTTGTTGCAACTAGAGTCTCCCATCGTGAATACAACACAAAACCCACACTCGAAGCTCCTATAGTCCCGATAAAATTCAAACAACCCTGACAATCTCGCTCACAGTTAATCCAACAGCGAACAATTGAACCTACAGTCAGCACGAAATGAAATAAACCGCGTTCCATGTAATCGAGTGCACACCGTCGAACGGCCTATAGTCTGTTTCAAATAAAGCGAGCATTCATGGTCACAGCCCCCACTGGCAAATGGAAGTTAAATCGATACGAGGGGCTATTTCGGCCGCGACTAGCCGAAAATTAACCGCCGACATGAAACAAAAACGGCCGGCCAATTAATATCATTTGCCCGGTAATACCGTGTGATCGAATAACGTCGAAATTAATTCGTATGACGTCAGCGGACGGCGAACAGTACTCGGTACCATATTAAACAAATTATTCAACGACAGATTAATTATTACCCCGATTACCGAACCGACCCGAATTTCACCGGCGGCTGCTAACAACGGGACCCCGTCTCCGGACACCATTTTGTTTCGCCGATTCCGTCCGTCCCGCCGTTTCACTCGTCGAGGCTCAAATATTTATCAACTATCGACCCGGAATTAATACAGGATCCCCGCGTTTCCGCTAATTTCGCGGATCCCGTTTAAATTCGCCTCGCCCAACGGTTCTCAACTCGGACTCCGGACCTCTTTTTTCGGCGAACCAACAATTCGCTCCAATGAAAGAACAATGAACTGCTTACCTTTCATCGTCTCGAAGCGTGCAACAGCCAGCAGCGAGGTCCCACGTGATAATGAATTCAACGAATCTCGTCGTCAGTGGTTCTCAACCAGTCCCCAGGATTCCTGAAACGGAAAAAGCCACGATCAGATTAAATATGAAACATCTTTCATTCTTCATACTTTTCTTTGTCGAACACAAATCTCAGCCATTCTCAACGCGAAAGCTTCGCGGCACTTGGTTCCAAAGGAATGACCAAACTTTCTGCTTTTTCTACTCCTCTCTCATCTTTCAAAATTTATATTGAATGTGAGAAATCTAAGCACCCTTAATTCTTTTTAAATCTAAATGAAATATTACTTTTATATTATCAATCGTCAATCTCCAAACGTGTATATAGAATAAGCATTAAAATTTGTGTTCTCAGTAAATTATTAACGACAAAGTAGTTGTATCGATCGCAGTTAAGAAACAAATCATAGGACAAGGGGTTAACAGAATATTATCTTCTACGAGAGAAAAATAAACAGCACGAACTTATAGGACGACGTAATATAATCAACGATCAAATTCCCCTGCCCTCTCTCCTCAGCCCTTCGACCACAACCCTTGCACCGTCCGACATTCCCGACCAGTGGTTCCCAAACTACTTCCCTCCCGAAGGGACGATCAACGAATTTCTCGCGTTTTTCCAGCGTTCCCCCTTGTAGTGGCGGGAGCGCGGTTCCACGTAGAAGAATTAATTTAACGCCGACCCCCTGGCGAGGGTGGAAGTTCCAGCCACGATCACGGTCGGTCTCGTCCGGTTTCCAGCGGGAAGTTAGCGCGGGGATGAAAAGAAGGTGGAGCGGGACGTCCCAGCCCGCGTGGCGGACTTAATGAGAGATAATTGAGTTAAGGCGAGTTATTTTAAGCGGAAAAGTTCGTGCCGAAAAGGGGAGTCCGAGGACAGCGGTCAGAGGGCAGGGGGGGGTCGAAGGGTTGCGCGCGCGCGGATGCGAGCGCGAGCCGGGTTAACTCGGAAAAACTTAGCAGGGGCAGCGCGACGTTAATCGATCGATCGCCCGGACACGTTTGCCGCGATCAAACTCACCGAAATTGGAAGTTCAACCCCTGCGCACATGTACAGACGGAAATCGCGTGTGTGTGCCTCGGTAAGCGGGTGCGTGTTTGTTTCCTTAATGGACGATTAATTTCCCCATGGACGGTTAATCGAGTCACGGCCAGGCGTAATGGAACGCGTTCGTTCTTGCGCGCCGTTTAGACGTTTTCGCAGATTCGGGGATAGGGTGGTTTTTAACGCGTTCAGTGCTACGTAGAACATATACATGGTGCACGCGAGTTTCTGTGGGAAAATATTTTTAAGGGACACGAGGTTAGGGATGGTGGTAGTAGTTATATTGATGGAACAGTGAAATTCCTCGAAACTATGTCAATGATTTAAGATGAAGTATTTGGATTTGAAGATTTTTGCTACGATGATTCGAGATTGATTGCGAGAGTCCTGGGTGATGGATTGGATGATCAATGCAGTGATCGATAAGTTAAGTAGATTGATAAGTCGGTAGGTTAACTGGTGAATTGCATAGAATGGTGAATAGGTCAATCTATAACTGAGAGATCGATAAGTAGGTCAATTGACGTGTTCGATAGGGGAATAAGTAGATTAATGGGCAAGTTGATTGATGGGTAGATACTTTGATTTATCGACCACCATTTGCATTTTTCAGGAATCTATATGCTAATAGACTATTTATATTGGAAATGAGAATTATTTTACAAACTTCCTTGAAAATAAAATGTACACTGTAGGTTCCACTGTCTCGTTCACGTTAAAACTGATTTTAAAATCCCAAAGTGTTCGCAATACTACATTATTGTACTCCGTTTCATTTGAGAAAGTTTACATAACCTGTTCCTACTAATGATATTCATATAATCAACACAATTACCGTACAACGAACGCTCAATCGAAAAAATTCGATTCAATTCGCCAGAGCTAAACTCTCGAGAAACAAAGATCAACGACACAGAACAACCCTCAAATCCCTATTACATGCACGGGAACGCCGAAAAAAACTTCCCACTAACCTCGCGGAACCCAAAGAAACATCAAACATAACACCCGACGTAATTTTCAGCATAAAAGAACTCCCAAACGCTAAGTAAACCCCTCGAAAACGCTGCGCCATCCCGATTTTCCTCGGCTTCGACGCCGTTTAACTACTTAGTTTGAAATTTAAGCGACGATTACAAGAGCTGTGCCAATTTACTTCATTCCGCGAAACCCACTCTGAATAAATTCATAATGAAATATATTGTTTTTGTGATTGTAGTAGTATTAAACGATAGCATAATAACGGTAACATAGTATAAAAACAGGCACTACTTTATCTTTCTCAACAGAACGCAAATTACATACTATTCCTCTTATCAGTAATTATATCTTCAAGCATACGCAGACATAGCGTAAGACTTGAATTTCCTGTTATTTTCAATAAACGATTAGCGACAAGGTAGATTGATCGCGACTCAGAAGGAAATCGTAGGACAAGGGGTTAACCGCTCGCAAGTTCGTCGACCAGGGTGATCCATGAAATTTTCAACGAGTCCCGTCCCGTGCGCGAAGCTTCGACAGGAGTTTATTTCGACGGGATTTCCATGAATTTTTCAACCGGCCGGTAAACTAATTACCCGTCGCTCGGGAATCGTCGGCCGACGCGGCACGGTTTTGTATAAAATCAACGGCTCACCGCCGGGAAACTGGCCGGCGCGGAGCGGCGGTCGCTCGTCGAACTTCCGGCGAATTAATTCGGATGCGCGCATTAATTGCCGGCTAATTGTTAAGCAATAATTAACGTTTTATTCCGCGCGACTTGGGGTTAGACGCCCAGCGTGCGAGCGAGCGAGCGCAACACGTGGACGGCAGCGCCGGCTCGAGCCGACAACAATACCCCGGGTTCTCGCGTTCCCTGTTAATTAATCGTGCCCGGTCGTTTGCTCGGCAAACATTTGTCGAATCAATCACGAATTAATCACGGCGGGCCGGTCACGTTTCTTGAGCACCGCGGTACACGGCTCGGCCGCCGCGGCGAATTTTGAATTCGAAGTTCGTTAAGGCGTGCTGGAAGTTCGTGGCCTGATGGATGTTTAATAGGGAATGTTAATTAGTTCGGAGGAGCGGTGAAATTTGAAGGGGAACGCTTTATTTGATAACCGGTGGCTCTGCGTTGAAAATATTGCATTTAGATGGTGATTACTTTTGCCGGGTTGGGGATGAGATTGAAATGGTTCGGAATTGTTTTTGAAATTCTCGCCGGTTGGCTGTAACAATTAATTAGTTTGGAGGAACGGTGAAATTGACTGTAGAGGAAGGCTTTGTTTGATAACTATTGATTTTGGGTTGAAAATATTGCATTAGGGGCCGACTATTTTGCAGAGTTGTGAATAAGATTGAAATGGTTTGAAATGATTTTTGAAATTCCCGCCAGTTGGCCGTAACAATGGCGGATCGAGAATCGGTGGAAAAACGCGTTTTAATAGGAGAAATTGATTCTTGATGCTTAATTTTGATAAGTTAAGCACTTTTTTTAATGAATTAGGTAGTAGAATCACTTAACTTCATTTTAACTGCGATAATGATTATTGTTTTTGATACATTATTTAATATATTGTGATCTAAGCTGAAGTATGTACGAATAAAAATGATAAATAACTGTACAGCGAGATGGCAAAAGATTTCTAACTGAAAGGGCAACGTACGGTTCAACAATGCTCGAAATTCAAATTCATCTTCAGTTTTTCCCGAAAAGTCTGGCTAATCAAATATTAAACAGAAGCTAATTACCCAAAGAGATTGTCACCTGTCATTTAAACTACCTCCGAAAATAACTTGAAATAAAGTATTCCTTTATACGAAATTATCCGAGGTATCGTTAATTCTCTACGACCAGAAATTCTCAAAAGCAATTCCAAAATTCACCCCCCAAACGATAACACATAAAATCAACGATACTACAATAACATAATCTTAAAACAAAAATAATTGTCACATGAAAATTAATACCCCGAAGAGTCCAAGAAAACCACCTTAAAATTCAAAAATCCACTAACCAACTTTTGCCTTACACTCAACTCGTACTCCATCAAAGATCAATCGCAAAAACACATCAACAACAGGACATTCAACGAACAATACGCGTAGAACCGTTGTCCACCAGGAACCCCAAACCCACCCCTAAAATCGCCAACCCCCTATCGAGCGAGCAACAGCCGAAGAATCGCAACTGTGTAACCATCCCCGAGCTGTCCTTAATTACCGGTTCGAATTTCATCCCCTAAGAGATTCAACGGGGGTGGTTGTTCCCTGTGTGATGACAAACGACGAAAGAGGGTGGGAGGGACGGGGCCGGTGGCGGAGTTTTCGCGAAACGACGCACACGAGGTCGGCCAACTGGTCGGACGTGTCGTGCATCGATACGGTAACGATCGCGTGCTCATTATCCCGGCCGGCGGCCGGCAGGGCCGTATGTCGCGCATTCCGGCCGCCAACGGAACTCCATATTTATGCCGGCGGCCGGCCATATGCGTTTAAATACCTTGCACGTTACACGTGTCGCACGTGCGACTACGTCCCACCCTCGATCACCCCCGCTGTATACCTGTGTGAAGGGCTGTTACGAGACCGTGCGCTGTTAGAACGCGGTACTTTGAATTTCTGGGTACGTGACTGGACACGGGGGTAGTTCGCTATTCGGGAGAATCTTTTTCGAGGCAGGAACTTTAGAAATTGCAACAGTATCTTGGGAAATTGCGATTGGCGAAATTGAAATTTAGGGAACTCAGGGTTCTAGAGTTGAAGCTCGCGGAGGTGGAACATTTAAAATTGCTAAATTGGAACTTAAAAATTTGGAACTGTCGAAGTTGGAAGTTACAAAGCTGAATCTTTCAAAGTTGGAATTTACAAAGTTGAAACTTGCAAAACTGGAACTTTCAAGATTTTAAATTGCAAAGTCGAAACTCAAAGCTGAAGCTTACAAAATTGAAACTTACAGAGTTAAAACTTGCAAAATTGAAATGTGTAAAATCATCATCTATCAAACTGAAATTTATCAAACTAAAATGC